TGTTGATAACACTCACGCGGTCATACTCCTCGAGCCAGTCTTCAGCGTCTTCCCCCGGAAGCCCTGCGAACAGCGGAGGATCCTTTTGAGGGCTCGTGACCAGGTGAGAAGGGTTTCTTGGTGGTGGGAGCAGTGGCGAAGCTGGCACTCAGGACTGGGCGGCTTGCGACATTACCGGACCCAGGTCGTTTAAGCGGCGGCCTGAACGGAGCTCCAGGAATGTGTTCTAGAAAACGCTGGGGTGTCTGAGAACGCGAGAGGATGCAGGAAGCGGGCAGCACTCTCCACCACTTGTAAGATGACGTCGAATACACTCAAGACTCATTTATTGACTCGAGTATGTGCCCCACAACCTAAACTTGACTGGTGATGATGAGTATGTACAGATGAAAGGATGGGACGCATAAATAATGCTCACAATATATATATGTGTATATATATATATATATATAGATATAGTCCAGTAGATCTTCCGTGAGCGGTCACAACGTGGTTTATTTCGACGTTTCGGCCTAGAGTCTGGCCTTCATCAGGCCAGACTCTTGGCCTATATATAATATATATTATAAAAATATATATATACATATATATGAATATATATATTATTGGTAAGTGGTAGCTATAGATCGTTTCTGTTTCACCTTCATTATAACGGCTGTATGGTCAGTGAAGTTATGGACCGGTGCTAGGGCGTAGTGAAATGTTTGCGAGGACAAAGTAGTGGACAGTTTTCAAATGTGGAACTATAGGCAATCACGTAGAAACAAGGGATGGACACATTGGAAAAATCTATGGTCCTTTAACGCGCACCTGGATACAAGAACACGACCATCTTGCATTTCATATTGGCTACTTCTCAACAGTATTGGCTTTATGGTCACTGAAGTGGTGGATCGGTGATGGGCTGTAGTGGAATGTTTGCAAGGTCACTACATACACCAACAGAGGAAGGAAAGACCCTCACCGTAAAAAACTTTGCCCTTAAAAAAAAGAAACTGAAATTTGCTAGCGTCATCGTTGCCTCGTAAAAGAAAGCGTGCCCTGCATCCATCTGCTGGGAAAGGCAGGGTATTGAACAAGAGTAGGCACTTACATTACATATAGTGTACTAGAATATGGGGTAGTGTGTTCAGGGAGGAGCCGTGGCTGCCGCAGATGTTATCGACAGCCGCGAGAAGGCGCCACCTTAGCATAGGCTGTTACCTCACGCATTGCCTTTTATGCATTCCAATGCTTTGGTATTAGTAATAGCAGGGGCTTAACGTCCCAAAACCCTCATACGATTATGAGAGACGCCGTAGAGAAGTGCTCCGGAAATTCGACAACCTGAAAATGCTTTAACATGCACCTAAATCTAGTACACGCACCTCAGTATTTGCGCCTCCACCGAAAACGCAGCCACCGCGGCTGGGATTCGATCTTGTGACATGCGCTTGCATACGTCGCGCTTGATAGTCTTGTGTTTAATTGCTGACACATCCGCGAAAAGCTTTCTGAATAGGTGTGTTCCTAGTGCATTCAAAATAAAAAGAAAAAGTGAGGAAAATAGGAGGAAAAGAACGGCAGGGAGGTTAAGCAGCCTATAGGCAGCCGGTTTGCTACCCTGTGCATGGGAGGGGGATGGGAGAGATGAAAGATAGAGAAGAGAGAGGGAATAGAGATAAACACAGCACATTCGACAGCACACGCTCGCACACTCGGAAATGTCAAAGCTGCAACGCATGGTCCGAATGCGCTGCAGGTATTAACCAACGATAGTGAAGCATTCATCCTTGGGGAAACTCCCTGCAGTTCTTGATGCTCGGTTGGTGAATGAATAAAAAATTAGGAAGATTGAGGTATCGAAGGAGCATCTATAAACCCGAAAGTTTCTTGTTATATTACTGCTATATGAAGTTGTAGTCTGCACACTGCGACAGCTTCGCCTTCCTTCATTACGCGCGTGGCACTGTTTTTGTCGATAGTTGCATTATGCAATTGTAATTATGTGGCTAAGGTGACAAAACTGCCATTTGATTGATAGGTACGCCGTAGCTGAAGACTTGGGAATAATTTTGACAACCTTGGGTCCTTGAACGATTACGCGCCCGCCGAAATACTGCTGCTGTGGCCGGGTTATTGCACTGTACAGTCAAAAGGAAACATCACTTGGCACAACTGTCAGACTGTAAGAAGAAGCCCTTTATTTAAGAGCGCGCATGCTGCAGTGAGCAGTAACACCGATCAAATTCGTCGCCATTTCGTGGAATTATCAGTTCACGATCATTTCATCACGGTGGCACCTTTATGAACACCGACTGATTTTGCAGTGCAGCTTTTTTTATTCTCCTTTTGCCTCTCGAGACTGGTTGATACCCTTCACGAAAAAATGAAGTCGGGACAGCACGTAAATTACCGCTCTCTTTGACACGAGATGCGGTGCGATCGAGCTCATGTAAATTTAAGGTAAACAAAGCTTGAGTAAGCGTTTCAGCGAAGCTGCAATCTCTGTAGTGTTCGCCACCCCGGGTTCGTAGTCAGCAGGAAGGTCCTTCGATGAACCTGAATCACTAGCCTCACCGTCAACACAGGGTGCTGCAGTTTTCTTGGAGATGGTATATTCGACCACCGAGTTCTTTCACTTTCTCGGAGGTCTTGGATGCGGTGCTTTCTTCGATAAGCAGCTTGGGGTGTTGGGCAGTAACATCGGCACGGCGTCCGGCGTAAGCTCTGGTCTCCTACGTGGTACGCGAACTTCTTCGCCGTTTATAACATGCACGCAGTCTTCTAGAATACATGAAGGCTTGAAGTGTAGCTCACATACAGAGCAGCATTAGTTCAAGGTCCCATCCGTTCGATGCGAATTCTGTTCTGAAACCTTCCTCCGTGCATCGTTTTTGGGTCCAGCGAAAAGCGATGGCTGCTCACCTTTTTTCCAATAGTATACCCTGTTTCGCACCTAGGATGCAAAACAGTGTCGTTGCCGCCTATGACTCGGCATTGCCTCACTGTCGCGTGGCCAGCAAAAACACTGCCAGAAAAACTTTCGTTATGCTGGCGCGAAAACAAGCAACAGGTCACTGAACAGCCCCCGAGAAGGCAGAGCGGCGCGGAGCTGACAATTCTGCCAGCCCATGCTACGGCAGCACCGCCTTGAGAACCAGTTTTTTGTCCACGTGCACCGTTTCACGCAATGCATGGCGAGAGAGTGTGCCTGAACACACTACCCCATATTCTAGTACACTATACGCGGGCCACCCTATACAGGATGGCCCGCGTCTAAAGTGTATTTCCAGAATTGGCTACCAATTTTTAATTTTGTTTTTCGAAACAACTAAACGGCTGATGGGTGTATAATGTGGCACATATCACCAAGGTATGGACGAAAACGCATGTTCAAAGTTTTATTGAAATCGGCGAATATTAGCAGATGGGGGGAGTCGAACACAGAACATAGTGTCCAAAGATTACGCTCTAAGAAAAAAATGGAGTATAAGGGGAGTAGTTCTGCTACACAACAATAATCGTCATCTGACTTGCTCACGTTTCCTTTTAGGGGCGAAGCTCCTTATAGCGGCACCCGTTCGTCCCCGGTAGTATGTAACAAGTATAACATTTTGACCTCCAAGGTGGTGCCGGTGAGAGACTTTTTCTGTGCGTTGTTGAACAATAAAAAATAGTGCTCATTGTACATGTCAGTGGCTGCTAATGGGGAATGAGAGACAAGAGCATTCGGCTTTTAGTTACCGCGTAGGCTGCGATCACTATTAGCAGCCCTTGGCATGTACAACGAGCACTATCTGACAAGAAAGGGTTGCTACGTTATACTCGCTGGGTGTAACCTCCTTAGATTTAGAAAGGTTTAGCGAGCGTTGAGCCGCAGTGCCATGAATACAATGAACTTGTATATACCATGAATGAACTCGAGGTGGTTAAAAATGGGAAGTAGATACGAAGCGCAAGTCGTAAGAAAGTAAAAGCCGAATTCTTCGCCTCTCATTTCCCATTAGCAGCCATTGGCATGTACATTGAGCACTATATGACTGAAAAAGTTTGCTACGTCATACTCGCTGGGCGTAACCTCCTTGGTTTTCGAAAGGTTTAGCAAGCGTTCGGCTGCAGTGCCAGGGATACAGTGAACTAGTATATACCATGAACTCGAGGTGGTTAAAGGTGGGAAGTGGACCCGAAGCGCAAGCCGTAAGAAAGTGTGCGTGTGCCACCTCTCGTTTAGTCCTTGGAATGTCTGCTGGATGGTGGTGCTTCTATATGGGGAATATATGATGAAAAGATGCGAGATGGTGGTACTTGGAGTGTTGAATAGATGGACGAAAGGACACATAGACAGATGCATGGATGGACGCATGAACGGACGCAGGGGCGGCTGCATGGACGAACGCAGGGACGGACGCACGAACAGATGCACGCACGGACGGACTGATGGACGCATGGAAGGTCACACTGACGGACGCATGAACGGACGAAAGCAAGAACGAATGGACGGACGAATTCTTCGCCCCACTCTTCATCATTCACTCCGTGGATATGCTGCCATTTTTTTTTGAAAACATGGCGCTGGCCACTTTTCTGCCAGGAACGCTATGTTACACTGATAACGTAGGCGCCGTTCGCGACCGCGAACTACCGAAACCGTGGTGATAACACGAGGAAAGTACTTGAAGTAGATGACGATGATAGTTGTGCGGCAGAAACACTCCTTGATTAGTCAATTTTTTTAGGGTGTACATCAAAGGCAGCTCCTTCCGAAAACTAGAGCATAACAAATAAATAGCTCATACACTAAACAATTTCAACAACTTCTTCATATATTTTGTAGTGCTTTAGCAAACGCTATAGGCGTCTTGATGCATGGGACTACAAGGCACGCCAGCTGCATCGTTGCTTTCTTTGAATTTTTCAATGATTCGGATTTACATCGACACCGAAGCCGACAGTCACTTTTAGCGTTTGAAGAGGCGTCTAAAGTTTATCTTCTCAGAAGAAGACGCTCGCTACCCCACCTGGCGTGCTTCGGGTGCAGCAGGTCCCATGGTGGCGCGAGCGCTGCCCTGGTCTCCTCCAGGGGACCTCGATTGGCCACCTCCACGTGGTGCAGATGGACCGGGATCCTCCGGCTGCAGGGTCTGCACAAAAAAAAAATTCCCTATAGAACCCCAGTGTCCAGATCGACACATAAGGTATCAAGAGCGATGCGTTTGAAGACAGAGAGACAATAATATTAACAGCAAGGGTTTCACGACATCAAAATCACGATACCATTATGAGAGACGCCGTAGCGGAGGGCTCCGGAAATTTTGACCATATGGTGTTAGTTCTTTAACGTGCACTGATATCGCACGGTACACGGGCCCGGCCACTGCGGTCACCCTTATTGAAGTGTGACCGCAGCGGCCGGGATCAAAACCGCAACCCTTGGGTCAGAAGCAGAGTGCCGTAGCCACTGTTCCACCGTGGCAGACGAAGACAGAGGGAAAGAAAAAGGCGAACGAAAGGCACGGAGGTTAGCCAGGTTGCAGAATGTCTGAGCGACCTGATCTGGTCTGTCAAGAAGAGAGGCATGATGAGTGGATTCAGCGCGGCAACACGTTCAACAGCATCAAACTCGCTGAAATGTCAGTTCTTTTGCAGAAGAGACAGGAATGCTACACCTGCCCCTTTTCCCCACCCTTTCCACTCGCTCCCTCCTTTCCCTCGGTCACACGCGCTTACCGTCTCACTCGGACCCTCCACAGAAGCGCCTCTCCTCTCACATGGTTTCTCTCAATCGGACAGCTTGCCGCACACACGAGGCGAGACAGGGTTCTCGAGCACTAGACAGAACATCACACCAACGACAATGCCAAAGCCAATGAATGGCAATTTTTTTCGCTTAAGGTGTCCTTATAATTGCTGACGTATTAGAACAAAATAATTCAGGCGTTTCGAAAAGCACTACGACGTGTCCCAATTACTGCGGCCTCAATGCGACTGGTCCTCGTTAATTTTCTTAAATGTGCGCAGAGGTCTGAAGTGTAGGTGAAAGACGGCTGCTACTCCTCGATTCAAATTAGCACATATTAGAGATTCATGCACCTTTTTGGAAAGAGTGAAGGAAGAGGACGACGTTCCGAGAGACTCTCCTACAGTTTGGCCTGTGGGGCGTTTAGTAGCCTGTGTGGCATGTTTTATTATGTGAGAGTAAATCATTCTCTTATTACGAGGTGGAAGCCAACACACAGTAAACACGGATCTGTTCAAACCAACGATGACAAGGTATTATCATAAATTACAGCCAGAAAGCTGTGAGCGTGTGCCCTGTACCGTTCCTAGCAACTTCAAATTGGCGCACGGCACGTCACCTGATGCGGTACTTGTGCAGCAGCGAATGTAGTATACTACAGTAACATTAACGCGAGTGCGTCACCATAATTGATGTATACGCAGGCTCTATTGTGGGGCACCGACACTTGTCGCGACACGTGTAAAACACAGTGACAGAAATTGGCAGGTCCCACGTACAGTGGGAATCAACGATATGGGAAGCACGAATGAGAAAGGTTGATATGTCACTTTAAAATCAGCACAACGTTACGAGGTGAAGTTAAATGATGCCGTACATAACTTCCGTGTGATGATTATCATGTTTTAATGTCTCGTTTACCTTCCTCATCTATTCACGTCACGTGATACCAAATTTAGTATATGTGGAGCTAGCGAAACGGCCGCGAGCCCGCTATGAGCGTGGTATGTTGTCATGTTCTCACATGACACGCGTGTCAGGATTATCATGTTTGTACCAGTCATATATTTCGCCATCCATTGACACCACGTGGCACCAAATTTGATATATGTGGAGCAAGCAAAACGGTCGTGAGCGCATCATGAAGGGCCCAATATACTCCAATGTGGTGTTGACGCGCGCGCACGCTCGGCACAGCGACGCAACGTTAGCAAAACAGGAGCACTCAATAGTCTGATGCCAGGCGTGACCAGTGTCCGTCAGCGCGGCCCGACGGTAACCGCCGGGAAATGAGACATGCTGCATTTTGCACCGATGCGTTACCCAGACAACACTGCGTCTGTGGACGCGCCATAGGCGCCACCGGGAGCGGCCGCGTTTCGCAAGCGCTCCGGCAAAACTCCTGTTTCTGACGGCTTAGGTCATTCAATGGCAACTTGAACAAATGTGAAGCTTTCTACGGAATCAACCGCATCATCTGAAGTGATTTCAAGTGAGCGCTTCGCAGTTCGCATCCACGAAGATCGACTTTTTGGCAGCGTTCGACTACCTCGGTGGGCCTACTGGCTAGGACAACCTACATGGTCATCCACGAAACAGAGGGAGAGGAGCTTTCCTCCGCCGAAGCTCTCGACGATAATGAAGGCAGCTGGCGTCAAGTGCATGCCAGGGCCAGAAAGCCCGCTTCATCCCCGAAGAAATCGACGCCTGACATTAACACATCGCAAGAAGAGTCACAGAAAGCTCTCCCATCGACTCGTTGCAGTGCCCCCAGACCCCCTCCACTTCCCGCGGACGACTACAAAATAGTCCTGCGAATGCGTGGAGGCCTCAGCTGTGCTGACACTTCACTTCCGAAGCTCATACATTCCGTCCTAAAAGCGGCAGCGCTCACAAGCTCTCTACATGACCAATACCGCATCCACTCTGTAAGCAACTTTCTGCTCATGAGCACACCGGGCTCGGCACGCACCGAAGCATACCCCCGTATCAAATCCATCAAGATGAACGAGCGCAGCTTTGAAGTGATCCCCCACATTACCGATCCATCGAATACCTGCCGAGGGGTAATCCGTAATATTCCTATGAAACACACATCTGAAACCATCTTGTCAAGTCTATTGTACTATGACAGACTAGGCCTCATCCTGACGGGACGTCGCATGGGTTCCACAACGTCCATCTTGGTCACCTTCAGAGGTACGCGCGTGCCTTTCTACATAAGTTATCAGGGTGGCATCACCATCCTTATGCCAAAGATTTTGAAACGCTCTTACTTACATATGGAAGTACAAATTTTATACGTTCACCTACTAGGATTACATCAACAAGTGCTACGCTCCTTGATATATGCACCTCAAATTTAAGTTCACAGAATATAAAATCCGGGGTATTAGCGTATGACATAAGTGATCATAAGCCCATCTTCTTTCTTGCACGATTTACTTCTCAAATTGGTCAGAAAACAGAGACATCTTTCCACCGAATTAAAAACAGCAAAACTCGGGAACATTTTTTTCAGCTAGTTCAGAACATAGATTGGAACACTGTTTATAGACAAGAAAATCCTGATGATGCTTATAACACATTCATGAGGTTATTGAGTGCTAGCTATGATGCGGCATTTCCTACTTCAGAAGCGCTCACGTGGCAGAAATAAGAAATGCAGAAAGCCTTGGATAAATCGTGATCTTTACCGGTGCATAAAAATAAAGAATAAATTGTATCATGATTTCATTCCGTTCGCGGAACACAGACGCCTTAGCTGAGTACAAGAAGTACAGAAACGTTTTAAACTTAAAAATACGGAAGGCTAAACAGAACTACTATGAAAAATTATTTGAAAGCATTTACAATGACCAGAGGAAGCTATGGGAGGTCATAAGTGGGCTTACGAACACAAATAAGGGTTGTAATAGGACACAGGACCTAACAATTAATGGTCAGATTTTCAGTGGTGAAAGGTTGGCCAATGTTATGAATGAACATTTCATAAATGCGGGTTCCTTTATTTTAACGGATGAAAAGCGAGATAATGCTCCAACTCCTGATAAGTCTCCTTTGCGGTATTCTATTTTTCTCGCACCCACAGATCCGGTTGAAGTAGAAAGATTAATCAACTTGAAAACAATGTTGCATCAGGAATTGATGAGATACGTTCTGTTGAGTTAAAAATGGTGTCACCATTGATATCTAATGTCTTGGCCTATATTATCAACCTCACCCTCACTAACGGTGTATTTCCAGAGCAGTTAAAAGTGGCAAAAGTCACTGCAGTACATAAAGGTGGTGATATCAATACTTTAGCGAACTATCGACCTGCATTCGTGCTTCCAACAATATCAAAAATATTTGAAGGGGTTATTTATGAAAGACTTGCATCCTTTTTTGATAAGTATCAAATAATAACAAAATGTTAGTATGGTTTTCAAAAAAATAAATCAACAGAACAAGCTCTACTCTATATCAAAGATAAGATAATCGAAAATATGAAAAACAAAAAATATACTCTTGGGCTTTCCTCGATCTTAAAAAGGCATTTGACTTCATACAATTCAAATCATTGATTCATAAATTATCAAGTTATGGGGTGCGTGGAGTTGCATTACAACTGTTTAAAAGTTACCTTGAAGATCGTTATGCAACGTGATCGTTATGCAAACTTCTTATGCTATTTATGCTTGAATTTTATGTGTACAATTGCAGGTTGCTTGAAACCAACGTATTGAATATATATATTGTTTATCAGTGCTGATGTCTAAGCCTTGCACTGTCACGGACTGCGGAGGGACAAGGGCCTTTGTCAGGCTGTTCGCCTTTAGCCCTTTGCCCCTGCAGTGAGCTCTGTATCCGGCTTACTGTAAATAAAAGTACTACTACTACTACTTCTACTACTACTACTACTAGATGCGTACCCTATCGCCATAAGACGGAAGCCTGTAATCTCTGTCGCAAGCTTGGCCACAAACCAGACTTATGCCCAGGCGCCCCTCAGCCTTTATGTTCAATGTGTGGCATTCCGAACCCACTCCTTGATCACGAATGTGAACCTAAGTGTGTGGTGTGCAACAGTGACCACCCCACCGGCTTGCCCTAGTACCCACAGCTCTACAAGCCCAAACCAAAGCACGCACCCTCAACTTTCCAGCAAGATGCAGCTCCATTCCTCGACCCAAGCCCATCTTTCAAGAACGCCCCTAGAGGACGCTCACGCAGCATCACAAGATAACAAAGCCGAAAAAGTCGCAGCCGCAGAGCAAGCCGCAACAAAAGCATTCATCAAGACCCCAGCCCTCGGACTGGCCGTGGACACGAGGTGAGCTGGGCTGATGTAGCCTCCCCTGAAAGCTCGATTCAAAATCAGCTCAAACTATTGCAGGATGTGATGGCTAAATTGAGGGCAGA